AGAAAACGCTAAAAGCCTATGCCCAAGCCCTAAACCCTAAACCTGCAATGTCGGTGAAGGCGGCTAAGTGCCATCTCCACAAGCCTTTCCGAACTCAACGAGATCCAGCAAGTTCCTCACACAGGGTCCCAGAAGGCTCCATTTAAGGGTTCTACTATAAAGGTTCCTATGGGGATAGGGTTTAGGGTTTAGGGCAAGGGTTCCTATACCGGCTCCGTAAGGTCCAGGCTTCAGGGTTTGGGGACTTTTTTCCTCTGCCCGAAGCCTTGGAAAGCGATACATACGTTTATACAGCACCAAATAAGCACACAACTACTATCGCACAAAAAAGAGACTTAGGGTTAAGGGTTTCGGGCATGACAACATATCGAACAGCAGAACATCATGGAGGGCAACGCGAAGAGGGCCTTTCTGGGAGCTAATGTATAGCTAGGGTTCCTATTATAAGGTGTCTGTAAGGGTTCTGCGAGGGATTCTGTCATGGCGTAACGCGGCAAGTAGACAAGACTCGACACAACTCACCACAAGAACTATACCACAAGTTTCGCAGCTTAGGGTACTTGAGTTGAAATACATCTGCTTGCCACCAGTAATTTAGCTGGTTCTCGAAGGGTAATATGGTGGGTTCTACACCATTGTAGAGTTTGGAGTTTAAATCTAAATTCACCAAACCCAACCCCCAATTTCAAAGGCTGTAGGCCCTATATACGCAGAGCAAACCCTAAACCTAAGTGGACACCGCACCGGAAATCAGAAGTCCTAACCCCAAACCTCGTAAACCGTAAACCCTAGACCCTAATCAGAAATCCTAAACCCAAACCCCTTAAACCTTATATTAAACCTTAATCAGAAATCCTAAACCTTAACCCCTCAAACCGTAAACCCTAAACCCTAAACCCTGAACCCAAAACCAGCACTAATCAGACCGAAGTCCTAAACCCTCAGCCCGAAACCGGCACAAAGCAGAAATCTGCTTGGTTTAGGGTTTAGGGTTTAGGGTTTAGGGTTTAGGGTTTGGGGTTTAGGGTTTAGGGTTTAGGGAATCTGCTTCGTCCTCATGGCATCTTTCACATCTGCCAGACCCACCAAGTCGAACAGCTTGGCCTTGAGCTCCTTTCGGGTTTTGCATCTACTTGGAGGCCCAGGGGACTTAGTAAGCAGGTTATAAGTAGAGTTATAAGTACACTATATGGAGTTACCCCAATTATAACCCTACTTATAACTGACTTACTAAGTCCCCTGGGCCTCTAAGTAGGGACCAAAAAAAGGAACTACAATGGAGATTATGGGTAAGTCTAGCTTGGAAGATCAAAAGGGATGGAGCTGTTGCCGTCTCCTTCATCAGGGTGCAGGATCCCGCATCGAAGACAGGTACACGAAAAAATAGTCTAGCCTCCCAACATACTATAGGGGCCGTACTAATTAAAACAGGATTTTCTGGGGCCCATTATACTATAATTATAATAAGGAAGCCTAAGGTATTAGCCAGACTCCGAATGTGAACAACGGCAGCCCTAGTGCTGCATCGACCTAACAAAAACCATCCCACCCACCCACTCACGCACACACGCCAACATTCCTGGTCCGTTAGCATCCATCGGTTTGAGCTTAACAAGCACCCTGAGGAAAAACACAAACACACACAACGATACGCCCTTCCATACATAACAAAATGATGCGAACAACTACATGACAAACAAACTGCTCGGCCCTCACGGTGACGGGCTCTTCATAGCAAGGCTCCGTCCAAAACCCTTGGGTTGCTCTCAAAATTTAAGGCGTAGGGTATGTGGGTTTTTTTGAAGCATTTAGGTGCTTCTTGCCTACTTTACGAAAGCAAGAACACCGGCCTCGTCAATCACTTCCTTGAAATGCTCCTGCGGATGCAAAGACGACTTCGTGGGGCAAGACCTACACAACCTTAAACCCTAAACTTCTAGGCCCTAAACCCTACAAGCCAGAAATGACTAGGGGTTTAGGGTTTTGCGCGGTGAGGGGTTTAGGTTTGAGGGTCAGCAAGAAGGACGGGACGCTACATTCAGTAACCCCTGTCGCAGTGGAAGTCTTCTCGAAGTTCCGGCTGTCCACTCCTAGGACATGGGCGCTTCAGAAGATATCGGAGCTTCATGTAAGCACCACGGTAACACTACTAGATGATCTAAATCCTGCATTACCTTAAGGACCCCAAGCTACGGAAATTATGGTATATTCCTTATTATGGGTAATGCAGGATGTATATCATCAACCGTAGCAGTCTTGGATTTCGGATCCGCATCAAGACCCGGTCTCCTGGAAATGGCTCCCTTGGTTCCCTGAGGGTCTGTTTAGGGTTTAGGATTTAGGGCATGTACCCGAATGCATATTCTTGGGCCTTAAAGTAATCCCTATATGCAGGTACCTGGAGGTCTACAGTATCTACTACTATATGGGCACAGTACATGGACCCTTGGGGTGTAGGAGGTGGTGGGGTTATTCTGGTAGACTGTCGGGGGTGTTGCGGGGCTTTGTTGGGATACCTACAGGGCTTGACACGATTTCATAAGGCCTTATGAGAAAAAAGCGGGCGGTTTTGAGTCGAAGCACTTTGCTGGGCTTTGTCACCCGTCTGAGGGCTTGCAGATCACAGGGCATGGGAAACAGGCCCAAAGGTCCAAATACCAGTATAGTATATACTTTTGGGGCCCAAATACCAACTAAGTACCTACTATAATGGTACTTGGACCCTTTGGGAGGTTTGTACGTGGGATAAGCTCGGGGCGTTTATGATCCCCCTTCGCACCCGCGCCCCAGACTTCGAACCTAGTTAATCCACTTCGCTCAAGCTTCCACAAACCGCATACAAACCTGGTGCCCAAGGTTATCTATCTGAGAACGAAAAGGTGATGATGGCGAACAACCCCTGATGCTAAGTTATCCTGCTGTCTGCTCCCCTGACTAGGACACAGCGGCACGCTCTTGATCTCTGCATGACGTACCATTGTGCAGGTAGGGTTTAGGGCTTAGGGTTTAGAAGCGGCAGAAGCATGGCTGACCCAGCCAAGCCCTGCAGTAGTTCAGGAGCCTCCCTTGGCTTGGACGACGACTCGCAACATCCAATCGCGCAGTTGAAGCTCGTTTCATCGGGGGACATTTGCGCAGACAACATATCTGAAAACAGCTGCAACACAAGCTGCCAGCGATCGGCCCGGCAACACGAGCAAAGTGCGGCATTGAAGGTGATCCGGTTGGGAATGGCACTGACCTGGTGCATGTCGATAAGCAGGCATAACACCCAGGTCCACTGGAGGCCCTTCTCACATGCACTGATGGCAGCACTGAAGGTGGTTGTGTTTGGTCTCAGCTTGGATGGTTTCATCCTAGTCAGAAGTGTCAGGGCCCACTGCCACCTGGCAGCCTTTTCAGCTGCACTTATCGTCGCATTGTAGGAAATCTCGTTTGGAGACAGTCTGGCAGAGTGCATCTCGAAAAGCAGTGCAAGGGCTTTCTGCCACCGCCATCCTTTCTCACAGGCGCTGATTGCAGCGTTGTAGGTGACTGTGTTTGGTTGCAGCTGCGTGTCACGCAGCATCCCGAGCAGGTGAACTGCGAGCTGCCAGAAACTGGACTTTTCGCAGGCGCTGATGCAACAACCGAATGTAATGATGTCAGGCTTTACCATCACATGTGGCATCTCTGTCAGCTTGTAGACCGCCTGAGCCCAAGCACCTTCTTCATCGCAGGCACTCACGGTGGCGTTGTAGGTAATTTGGTCAGGCACACAATGGCGTATTGGTACAACCGAAGAAAGCTGAAATGCCACTCGCCAGTCTGCTGCAGCTGTACTGATGGCCACGTTGTAGATGATGGTGTGAAGCTGCAATTGACCGAAAGCCATGGTTGCAAGGACTTGCAGGGCCAACTGCCAGAAGCCGGCCTTTTCACAAGCTCCGATGCTGGATGTGTAGGTGAGCTGGTCGGGATCATGTCTGGCAGCGCCTGCTGCAGCCAGGAGTGAGATAGCCCCCTTCCACTGTGTGGCATTCGCAGGTGCGCTTGCAGCAGAGGTGTAAACCTCGGTTTCACATCCTCTTGTCTACACGAACTCGGAGTTTGATAGGGAAGAAACCTCTCTGGTTTGTGCACTTTAGGGTTTAGGGTCTGTCAAGCGTAGAAAACGGGTTTGCCCCCATGAACAGGCCTACTGCGATGACAGATGCACTGCAAAGCGAGTTCTCGCAACATGATTGCGAACCCAAAGGATGTCATGAAAGGAAAGCCGGTAGTAGCAAACACTTTCTTACCATCGAAATCTGTAAGCACCGACACTATCTGCCGAAAAAAATGCATGAACAAAAACACGCAAAAAAAGAGGGTTAAAGCTTAAGAGGGTTAAAGCTTTGCATGCCCGAGGGCGGGGAAACAACAAACCACCACAAACCCTGAACGCCCGACGCCCCAAAGTTTCATAACATCCTACATAAAACTGCCCAGAGAGCTGATGACTTAGACTTTTCGTAACCTCTTAATATACTATACACCCCAACCTATGGAATTCATAAGGGGGCCCTGCAACAAAAAGTAGGTTGTGGTAGCAAAAGCTAAGCCCGAATGTCTGACAGGGCCGGCGACCACTTTGTTGGGCCAAATGCTGGCCGCAGGCATCACCTGCATCATATTACACCCAAATGGTCCAAGAACCCAAAGAGTAACTACTTTGGTCCACACATAGTCTCTATTTGGGTACTTTAAACATGTGAGGCCGAAGTATCTATGTTTTGGGTACATGAACCCTTAGGGATGTGTAGCCGTGTTGAGTCTGAGGCGTGTGCGGGCTGCGCCTGACCGTTAGGATATGAGGGATATGTGCCGATCCACAAGTACTATCAAACTTAGGTCCTGAATAAGGTACCGTCCGTACTCACACTGGTCTTGCGACATCTCCTAATATCCCTTAATTAATTAAAGAATGTACCGTAAATCATGATACCATCCCGAATAAGGTGTAAGGTACATTATATTCCTCAAGGAAGGGATCTTGGAAGATATGGACTTCTGACGGGTTTCAGCGCCTCCAGAAGAGAGAGGCTTCTCTGCCAGGGACCCTCTTGCAAGGCAGCGGCAGTCGCGCCGTAGCTGAAGGCATCAGGGACGAACCGCTGATTTTGGAGATTTGAAAGGAGATCCAAGGCGAAATGCCAGTGTTCCATACCAAAGGCGCTGATGGTGGAGTTGAAGGTGATCAAGTTGGGTGAGGGGTGGCTGAGGTTCATATCTCGAAGAAGGCGGAGGGGTTGCTGCCATTGTTTCTGTCTCATGCACGTGGCCATCGAACTGCCGAAATTCTTCACAGTCAGTCGCACGGAAGCATTGACCAGCTGCTCCAACCCGTCTATCGCATGTGCCCAACTGCTCCGCTCCCTATGTACAGCCATGGCGCCAGGGCGGGGTGGAGAGCTTCGACTAAGAAAGGAACTTGCTCCAAACCCGTGCCTCAAGGTAACTGAAAACCTACGCTTTACCAGAAAACACTTGAAACCAAAACCGGAACCGAACCTTCCCAAAAAAGAGATGAATACTTTCACATTCTAGGCCATCCTGCCTCGCGCTGGACCACGACAGCAGCCAGGCACAATTAGGTTCAGGGTCTACCTACAGTCTCCATTGTAGTTCTTTTTTTGGTTTAACCAATTCTATATTAGGGATCCCAAAAGGGAACCCCAAAAAGGAACTACAATAGAGATTACAGTTCCTTTTTGGGGATACCTTATAAACTATTTAATATATACTTGGTTAAACCAAAAACAGGAACTACAATGGAGACTATAGGTAGGTTTGAGGGTGGAGGTCTAGGGTTTAAAAAGACTTCAGGTTCAGGGATGTTGTGGCTTGTGGAATTGAACTTTTACCCTAACCCCCCAGGTACCTATATAGGCTACTAGAGGCCCTGGGGCCCTATATAGTAGGTATCTGGAGGGCTAGGGTTAAGGTTCAGCACCTGGGACTCAATGTGTGAAAAGAAGCGTTTAACCATGCTTATTCCACATACGTTGGTTACACGTTACCGAAACCATCGAACCCAGCATTACATCGCCACCCCACAAACCTCGAACAATGAAGACACCGTCATGCATAGATTACTTGTCAGACATCGGCTGTGAACCCGGTTGCAAGACACGCCCTACAAGCGCCCACCACCCTAAACCCTAAACCCTAAACCCTAAACCCCCAAACCCCAAACCCCAAACCCCTAAACCCAACACCCTAAACCCTAAACCCAAAACCCCCAAACCCCAAACCCCAAACCCCTAAACCCAACACCCAAAACCCAAAACCCTAAACCCAAAACCCCGAAACCCGAAACCCCTAAAGTCTCAAACTATGCAGCTGGCAACCCCTGTCCTGATCATGGCGATGCTCTTCCGACCTCCCCTGCGACAGGATACGACGCAACAAGCGCAAAATGCAAGAAGAGCCTGTGGCCCAAAAAACGTACGTTTTTAAGGACTTATATATATATATATAAACCATAATAAGGAACCCTAAAAAGGTAGGTTTTTTCGGCTACAGGAGGTTGCTGTTTCAGCACATCTCCCCGTGCCTGTCTATCTCTATCTCTATCTTTACCTATCTCTCTCTCTCTCTCTATATATATATATATTTATTTATACCGATATGCGTATATACGTATATATGTATCCAGAGAGAGACAGAGGGCTTAGATAGCTTGAAGCTTGAACCAAACTATGGGTTCTGGGCACAAAGCCGGTTGATCCTACGAGAATGAAAGCAGGTAACCCAGACCAAAGCATACACTTGAGCTTACTTCCCCCATGAACCGGGAAATACAAGGTTAAACTTTCAGATTACTACTGAATTATGAGAACCCACAAAGTTTAACGGTTGAGTGTTGGCGAACTAAATGACAATGAGGGTCTGAGTCAGCACGATGGGATCTTGCATCAAATCCAAGAAGCACCCCGGAAGTCCCTTCGTAATTGTTTTGTACCATCAGAATTCTATCTATTTCTTCAATACTGTTTCGCAGGGATCGGCTACATCTTTGAATGTCCCATTTTCGACGGAAGCAATGAAGCCTCTCTCACTTAGGTTTTGGCATGAAGATAGTCATCGTCGAGACCCCAGAGCTCCGAGGTAGGCTAGGGCTTAGGGTTTAGGTCCCTGGAGCTGAACTCAGGGTAGGGTTAGGGGTCAGTGTAGGTTTTCAAAATTTAGGGCTTGAGAGAGGGCCGAGACCACATTAATTCAACGAGGCGTAGCTCAGTTCTGTTTCGTGGACCCCGGCATGTGAGCGCTGATGTTCGTGAAAGCTGGGCCAATAGGACCAGAACGAGGCCTTGCTGACTGGCTGCAGCACAGCACTCTACTGCAGCCTCCAAGGTCACTGCGTCTGTCAGAGACCTGGAAGACATCTCCGCCAGCAGGCATAATGCACACTCCCACTGCAGTGCCTTGCGACAAGACTCGATGGCAGCATTGACAGAGAGGCCATTGGGGGCCAAAGCATGTCCGTCCATCCCTGCCAGCAGAAGAAGGGCAAGCTGCCATCTGCTGGCTTTTTCGCAGGCACTGATGCATGCACTGAGTGTATAAGCATTAGGTCTGATCGTTTCCGACATGTCTCCTAGCAGGCGCACTGCTTGCTCCCATTTCCCGCACTTCTCACAAGCACTAATAGTAGAGCTGCATGCAACGACGTCGGCTTGAACTGTAGTCTTTAGGCTAGAAAAGATCTGCAAGGCCCAGTCCCAGAACATTGCTTTCTCACCAGAGCTGATGGCTCCGCTGTAAATGATGACGTCGGGTAACGTCGAGAGCTTTACCATGTGGTTCAAGAGGTTCAAAGACCCCTGCCACTCGCTAGCTTTCTCGCAGGAGCTAACGGCAGAACCGTAGGTTACTTCACTGGGCACTGCCCGACTTCCACAGAGTTCCTGCAAGAGGAACAACGCCTGCTGCCATTGGCCGCTTTTCTCGCTAGCACTAACAGCTGCGCTGTAGCTGATTCGGTTTGCCACCATCGTTGAAGCTTCGACCTGCCTCAGCATCCGAAATGCGAAAGACCAATGGGTGCCCTTCTCGCATGCACTTATCAAAGCACTTAGAGTAATAGTGTTGGGACGGAGTCCGACCTGTTTGCAGTTTCCCACTGTCACCGCAGCCATCTGCCAGCGTGCATTTTTGGCATATGTGTCGACTCGAATGCTGTATGCGATCTCGTCAGGAGGCAACAATAGCACCTGCATCTTCCACAGAACCCAGCCAGCTTGAGACCACACTCCTGCTTGCTGACATGCGGTGCTGGCAGCACCAAAAGTGATCTGGTCTGGCTGCAAGCCTGCAGCCAGCACACCCCATTCCAAGAGACCGAGGGCGGATTGCCATCGCCGCAGCCGGGCGAAGCGGGTGATCTTCAGATTTTGTTGAAGCAGGCGAGGGTCCTCCCCAAGCAGAATTCCCATCTAGCCCTTCATGACCTTCACAGCATCCTCCGCCCTGCCCTTCTTTCTTGCCGAGCTGTCCGGGGCGTTGCCACAGATGCGAAACTTCGTGCATGTCGGCCCATTTGCCCGAAGGCTTCACACAACCGGGATTCTGCTAGGAAAGTTCCTGAAGCATGGGTTACTATGTCGACTACTATTCTCAAAAGTAGTCACCGGAGGGTCTATCAAATACAAGATGTATCAGCTTGCCTGTCCGCCCAATCTCGTGACATTCGCTGTCCTGGGGTTTAGGATTTGTTCCGATGTGGCATGTGTACCTACGCACTCTGGCTGCTCGATGAACGTGACCATGCCGGGTTGATTACACTTGGCATACTCGATATGTATAGAGCCTGCTTCGTCAAGCTATCCAGAGAAACATGCTGGATCGCAAGAACCCGCATCTAGGCAAAGCTGTGTTCCTGAACCGAGGAGTAATGCGCTCTCTGGCCACGGCCATGGCCATTGCTGTTGGGCTCGGGGTCACAACTTCGAAATTAGACTCGAGAGGACGACATCTGACTCACCAAACCGATGCCCATAGTAACAGTTTCCAGTGTAGTTCCTTTTGGGGTTGCCTTATAGGTTCTTAATAATCAAATTGGATAAACAAAAAAACTACGATGGAGACCATGGGTGTCTGTTACTTCGGCGATCATTCGGGCTGTTGGGGAACCAGTGCCTATGGTGGTGGCCAAGGGTTTAGGATTTAGGACCCGGATATCTGCCTTTGCACCAGTTCAGTACCAGCAATACCTTCAAATAAGCTTGCTCAGTGCGACAGCCGTACTTACGGCAACGGCGACCAGAATGGACATAACAACATGAAGCAGTAGGAACGCTTAGTAGCTGAGTGCCCTGGGCCAGAAGAGGTTAACCTTTGTAAAGAGCTATACTGAACTTATTAGACCCGTAGCACAAATCATAATTTTAGCTGCTTCTTAGGATTTATAGTAGCCAAAGATTGAAAATTAATTCTAAGTACCCCTAAGATAGATGGATTACCTAACCAGCGCCAGCAACATGCCGCACTGTGAGCCCTCGGCCTGTGTCAGCCGTGCGCCAAAAGCAAGTTGCGACACCAATGATAGCAAAACCAGGCGCCTGAGTTTAGGGTTTAGGGTTCAAGGTTTAGGGTTTAGGGTTTAGGGTTCAAGGTTTAGGGTTTAGGGTTTAGGGATCAAGGTTTGGGGAAAGCAGCGAGACGGATTCTGGCCGAGGACATCAGTTGGTTTCCGTACAACTCTTCCGACTGTTAATGATAGAAACCCTGCATTACCCATCATAAGGGTTTAGGGTTCAGGGTTTAGGGTTTAGGGTTTAGGGTTTAGGGTTTAGGGTACCGTAATTCTCATGTTTTATCGTCCTTCAGGTAATGCAGGAAAAGGATAAGCACAGGTGAGATGGAACAAGCCTTCGTAGAAACTGCCCATCGTCATGCATCACCCATCTCATCACGAGTATTAAGATGTCTCGCTGCCCTGAACTCTAAACGCGTCTATCTTACTGGCCCAGCAGCTGTCATCATGTCCGCCATCTCATCATAACCATAATGATCTCGTCGTCTGCCCCGCCCTCTTCAACATTGATCAGGAACATCCTCACGAACATACTGAACGACCGTCTTCATCATTGCCCACGACATCGTCTTCATCACCAAGCTCGTCATGATTCCTGTTTCTTGGCCGCTGCATGAAGGGGTTCTGGCAGGGCCCCCATGCGGATATCCCATATAAATCCCCTTATGACAAGGGACCCTAAACCCTAAACCCTAAACCGACAATAATGTACCGATGTCCTTGTAACATGCTTATGCCTTGGTCCTTTGGGGGCCCCAGTTGGTATGACGGAAGACTGCCCAGAAAGCCCAGGGCACCTGAAAGTAAGGAATATACCTTAAACTATCGGATCCTTAATAGTCTGATTTCAAGTATGTTCCATGATTCAGGAATAGACCGTAAACTATAGGGCCCTTAATATTATGATTTAAGGTATATACACCTCAATTAAGGAATATACCTCAAACTACAGGGGCCTTAATCTTATGATTCGTTTGGGAGTCGCCGGACCAGGACCAGGTTGAACGGCAGGGCGATGGGGTTTAGGGCTGTGGGAGTGCCAGCATTTAGGGTTAAGGATTTTGGGGTTCAGGGTTTAACGGCTTAGTGTTTAAGGGCTCAGAGTTTAGGGCGCAAGCGCAAGTTCGGGGTGTAGGGCTACCGGGAGTGCAAGAGCTGTTCTCGAACGTGGGTGCTCTTGAGCCGACAAGCCTCGATCCCTGCCGTAAACAGCATCCAAAAACTCCCTTGGTGCACAATGGTTTAGGGTTTAGGGTTTAGGGTTCCAAAAACTCCCTTGGTGCACAAGTGTGCTTGACAATGTACCCTTAAACCCTCAACCCCAAAGCCTTTAAAACCCAAACCCCATGCAAGTAGAGGCTCCTGGACAAAAGAAGAGGAGGGTAGGTTAAAGCTACGGAGTAGGTTGCGAAACCGAAACTGTCGTGGCATGCAACCATCAACTCTAAGCCGTGTAGATGCTTAGGGGTTCAGTACTTAGGAACTTAGGGTTTACGTAGCGGTTTAGGGGTTTAGGGTTTAGGTGATTTAGTGGTTTAGGGGTTTGGGGTTTAGGAGTTTAAGGTTTATGGGTTTAGGCTTTAGTGGCTTAGGGGTTTAGGGCTTAGCAGTTTGAGGTTTATGGGTTTAGTGGTTTAGTGGCTTAGGGCTCAGAGGCTGATGAGGGCGGGCGTCTTGCAGTCAACCTGCAGCACCGAATGCCTAGTGACAATCTAAGCCTGACAGCCAAAGATAACATTTAGGCTTTAGGGTTTAGGGTTTAGGTTTTAGGGTTTAGGGCTTTGGGCTCTTATTGCTGTCGTGGGCTTTCTGGGGACGGTTTGGGCTTTGGGGGCTAAGGTTTGGGCTTTCACTATGGGGGTCCATGGGCTTTAGTAAGGGTAAGCCACAACTGCAGCCCGGGGCGCCACATCTTGAAGAGTAAGTAGAATTGGGTAGACAAGCAACAGAAGCTTATCGCGATGGGCAGTTTTGGGCTGAGCCAAATGCTGCGAGGGAGCCTGTCTCGAAAGCATGGGCAAACTCGAAACAACCGCTTGTTGCCGAAAGAGCAACGCACGTCCATTCCGAAGCTTTTCGATGTCCGAAGAGTGATCAGAGAAGACTTGATCGCCGCAAATACTTAATGCCAAGCAAGCTTAACTTGCAAACACAAAGCCCAAGACCTTCGGGTACCAAAATGAGGGTTTAGGGTTTTTGGGTTTAGGGTTTGGGGTTTGGGGTTTAGGGTTTCTGGGTTTAGGGTTTTTGGGTTTAGGGTTTAGCATAACCTGGGCCACAAAGTTAGTAGTTCCTCGATCGTCGCTGAAATGTACGCCGGGAATCTGCTACTTGGACCCGTAGCCCCTAGGCCCCAAGCCCTACGCCGAAGTCCTAAACTCTGTACCCAAAGCCCTACGCCCAAGTCCTAAACTCTGTACCCTAAGCCCGATCGCCGGATCCCAAACCAAGCCCTGTCTAGGTTGAGGGTTTAGGGCAGACCCTTGCAGGGTTTAGGGCATGATAGGGTTTGTGTTTTTATGCCGCAGAAGAGAAAGTGCCAAGAATACAAGTGGAGCCAAACCGACGTGACTCCTCACTGCTGGAGCACTGTGACTGCCCAAAGCCTAACCCAGAGGGTCCAAATACTCAAATAGCAGGGTTTAGGTCCCAAATCCCATGTTATGAATGGGTTTTTGGCACCTGAAACCCTACTATTTGAGTACTTGGGTTTAGGGTTTAGGGTTTAGGGTGGACCCTTAGGGTAAGCATCGCAAAACCCGGATTAAAACCCCTCTGCTCCCCGAAACAAGGAAGATCCTGCCTCCCCCTAACACCCTAAATCAGGTTTGGTTCAGGGTTCAGGGTTCAGGGCTTAGGGTTTAGGGTTTAGGGTTTAGGGTTTAGGGTTTAGGGGGTTTAGGGTTTAGGGATTTGGGGTTTAGGGTTGTCGGGCCTGTAGGACCTCCCTCAACCCCCCAACCCCGAAATCCTTCACCCTGTTTCCCTCTTTCCCCGCTGTGGCCGCAGCTTGGGCGGCATCGCCTACAGGAGGGCAACAGATGGCTTATCGGGGTTTCTAGATTTCTATAATATAGGGGCGCCTTAATATTTAGACTACGATCATAAGGAGCCACCAAAATAACATAGGCAATTCTGGAGGCCCCTAGAAGTATCCCTGAGACCTATTCTCACATATTCGGGTCTAGGGCTTAGGGTTTAAAGCAACCAGAAATCGGGGCAATTGTGGTGTATCATTCCAGTACGACTGTGCAGATAATCTTAGAAATGCTGATTGTTTCAGAACCGGGGCCCGGCCCCTTCTTGGAGCCGGCATAGTTCAAGGTTTCAGCGCAGGGCTTGGGGGGGTCCGGGAAAGCCTCCGCGATGGCAAGTAGGACGTGGCATGGCTATCATACAATATGTACATGCTTGTGTTGGTATATCTATATCTATATATATATATATATACACATAGTATGTATATATATATATATATGTATATGTATGTATGTATGTGTGTATCTATCTATATACATATGCCTTGGTCGTTAAAAAACAGAAAGTACTGAGACAGTATAAGAGAGAGAGAGAGAGAGAGGGAAACGCATCTTACTTAAAAGCTCATGCCAAAGACTTGTTCCAGGCACACGAATGCATGCACGGGAATCGTGTGCTATACCTGAAACCTCAGACACGACCCCAAGCCATAAAGCCTAAAACCCAAAGCGCACCGGACGATGATACAGAACCTCAGAAAGCCCCAAAACAAAGCACCAAGCCCTAATACTCTGAAACCCCAAACCCTAAAGTCCTATGCATTCAACTTGACTCCAAACTCCCCAGCTTAGGGTTTGGGGTTTAGGGCTTAATTCAACAAACAGAGATTCAGATCCTCATTCTAAGGACAGCAATGAGGCA